ACAACGAATGGAAAGCATAACATGTTTTGTTGTCGACATGTTTTCATCATGCTCAAGGTAAAACTTGTAATCTTTTATTACAAACATGTTGCTGTAATGTTGCCGACAACATAATGTATGTACCACTATTGCTTATCGTTTGTTCTTGAAATTTCATCAACTGATGATGACACATAGTATAAGCAGTTATGTTGCTATATTTGTAATGTATTGTTTTTCAATGTCAACAAATGTATAGCAAATATACAACAACTCATGCAATGCATTAGTCTGCTCGATATGATGAATCTCGCTTGGTTATCTGGGTAATAATGTGTCAACAAATAATTATTTTAATAATTATTAACTACTTTATTTTACAGATTCAAAATAAATTCAAAAATAAACATTAAATATTAACTGACCGTTTAAAAAATATTTACTAAAATCATTTTTTCAAAATAAAAAATTAATGAAGAATACGTATTGAAAAAATATTAAATAAACATTATACAAATGTTTACTGAAATCATTTTCTCAAATGTAAGATTAATGACAAATATTTAAAAAATATTAAATAAACATTATACAAATGTTTACTGAAATCATTTTCTCAAATGTAAGATTAATGACAAATAAATATTTAAAAAATATTTAATAAACATTTAAAAAATGTATACTAAAATTTAATTTTTTTAAACGTTTCAAAAATGCATACTAAAATTTTCATTTTTTAAAATGTAAAATTAATGACAATTAAATATTTAGAAAATATTAAATAAACGTTTAAAAAATGTATACTGAAATCATTTTCTTAAACGTAAAATTAATGACAAATAAATATTTAAAAAATATTAAATAAACGTTTAAAAAATGTACACTGAAATCATTTTCTTAAACGTAAAATTAATGACTAATAAATATTTAGAAAATATTAAACGTTTAAAAAATGTACACTAAAATCATTTTCTTAAACGTAAAATTAATGACAAATAAATATATAGAAAATATTAAATAAACGTTTAAAAAATATATACTGAAATCATTTTTTTAAACGTAAAATTAATGACAAATAAATATACAGAAAATATTAAATAAACGTTTAAAAAATGTATACTGAAATCATTTTTTTAAACGTAAAATTAATGAAATTATTGACAAATAAATATTTAGAAAATATTAAATAAACGTTTAAAAAATTTATACTGAAATTATTTTAAATGTAAAATTAACGTTAAATAAATAT